TACTTAGGCTCCCTATCCCCTGAGACAAAACAATATTGAAATTAGGTCAATTAATAATCCTGCAATATCCTGTAAGTGTTGAAGTAAAAGGAAGAGTTGCATGTCTCTCATTTTAAATCGAAAGCTGGAAATAATTAGGCTTAGTGAAAAAGGCACGTTGAAAGCTGAGAGGATGAAAGCTGAGTCTCTTACACCAAACAGTTGACCAAGTTGTGAATGCAAAGGAAAAGTTCTGGAAGGAAATTAAAAATGCTACTCCAGTGAACACATGAGTGATAAGAAAGCTAAACAGACTTATTGCTGATATGGAGAAAGTTATATTGGTCTGAATAGAAGATCAAATCCAGGCCGGGTACAGTGGCTCACACCTATAATCCCAGCACTTTGGGAGGCCAAGGCAGGTGGATCACTTGAGGTCGAGAGTTCGAAACCAGCCTGATCAACATGGAGAAACCCCATCTCTACTAAAAATACAAAATTAGCCGGGTGTGGTGGCACATGCCTGTAATCCCAGCTATTCGGGAAGCTGAAGCAGGAGAATCGCTTGAACCTTGGAGGTGGAAGCTGCAGTGAGCCAAGACAGCACTACTGCACTCCAGCCTGGGTGACAGAATGAAACTGTCTAAAAAAAAAAAAAAATCAAATTCACCAAAACACTCCCTTAAGCCAAAACCTAACTCAGAGCAAGGCCTTAACTCACTTCAATTCTATAAAGGCTGAGAGGTGAGTAATCTGCAGAAGAAATGTTTGAAGCTAAGAGAAGTTGGTACAAAAGTAATTGTAGGTTTTGCTATTAAAAGTAATAGCAAGCCTGGCGTGATGGATCACGCCTATACAGAGTAAAAGAGCAAGTGCTGATGGAGAAGCTGCAGCAAATTATCCAGAAGATCTAGCTAAGATCATTAATGAAGCTGGTTATACTGAACAACAGATTTTCAATGCAGACAAAACAGCTTCATTTAGAATAAGATGCAAACCAGGCCTTTCTTACCTAGAGAAGAGTAGTCAATGCCTGGCTTCAAAGTGTCGAAGGACAGGCTGACTCTCTTATTAAGGGATAATGCCACTGGTGACTTTAATTTGAAGCCAGTGCTCATTGACTGTTCTAAAAATCCCAGGGCCCCTAAGAATTATGCTAAATCTACTCTATATATGCTCTATAAATGGAACAACAAAGCCTGGATGATGGCATGTCATTTACAGCATAGTTTTTTGAATATTTTAAGCCCCCTATTGAGACGTACTGTTCAGAAAAAAAAAATATTCCGTTCAAAATATTCCTGCTCAAGAGCTCTAAGGAAGATATACAAGAAAATTAATGTTGTCTCCGTGCCTGCTAACATAACATCCATTCTGGAGTCCATGGGTCAAAGAGTAATTTTGACTTTCAAGTCTTATTATTTAAGAAGTATATTTCCTAAGACTATAGTTGCAATAGAATGATTCTTCTGAAGGCTCTGGGAAAGTAAATTGAAAACCCTCTGGAAAGAATTTACCATTCTAGACGCAATTAAGAATGTTTCTGACTCATGAGAGGAGATCAAATATCAATATTAACAGGAGTTTGGGAGAAGTTGGCTCCCACTCTGATAGATGACTTTGAAGGGATCAAGACTTCAGTAGAGGAAGTAACTGCAGATGAGGTGGAAATAGCAAGACTAGAATTAGAAGTCCAGCCTGAAGATGTGACTGCAGTGCTGCAATCTCATGATCAAATTTGAACGGATGAGGAGTTGCTTCTCATGGATAAGCAAAGAAAGTAGTTTCTTGAGATGGAAGCTATTCCTGGTGAAGATGCTGTGAACATTGTTGAAATAGCAACAAAGGGTTTAGAATATTCCACAATTTAAGTTGATAAAGCACCGGCAGGGTTTGAGAGGATTGCTTCCTTTTTCTTTTTTGGCTGTTCCTTACAGAGCAGGGCTAACTCCAGGCAGTGTGCCCAGAGTCAGCTGACTCCAATTTTGAAAGAAGTGTGGTAAAATGCTATCAGGCAGCATCTCGTGCTACAAAGAAATCCTTTGTGAAAGGAAGAGTCAATCAATGTGGCAGACTTCACTGTTGTCTTATTTTAAGGAATTGCCACAGCCACCCCAATCTTCAGCACCACCACCCTAATCAGTCAGCAGCCATCAACATCGGGACAAGACCCTTCACCAGTGAAATATTGTAACTCACTGAAGGCTCAGATGACCATTAGCATTTTTAACAACGAAATATTTTGAAGTATGTACATTCAGTTTTTTTTCAATACAGAATTTTTTTATTTTTTTATTTTTTTTATTTTTTTGAGATAGGGTCTCGTTCTGTCACCCAGGCTGGAGTGCAGTGACGTGATCACAGCTCACAGCAGCCTCAATTTCCCTGGCTGCAGTGATCCTCCCATCTCAGCCTCTTGAGTAGCTGGGACCACAGGCACATGCCACCATGCCCAGCTAATTTTTGTATTTTTGGTATCACCATGTTGCCTGGGCTGGTCTCAAACTCCCGAGCTTAAGCAATCCACCCGCTTCAGCCTCCCACAGTGCTAGAATTACAGGCATAAGCCATCACACTTGGCCTGTTCTTTTTTTTTTAAACGTAATGCCATTGCATATTTAATAGGTTACAGTATAGGATAAACATAACTTTTATATGTACTAGGAAACAAAAAAATGCGTATGACTCACTTTACTACAATATTTGCTTTTTTATGGTGGTCTGGATCTGTACCTATAATATCTCTGAGGTATGCCTGTGATTTTATAAGCATTCGTGCGTTTTTCCCCTTAAGAAGCCAAGCATATCCATTGGATCCTGACTCACAGCCCATGTAATTTGTACTGCACACAATTCTAATAAGCATGTTACATGGCTTCCAGTTTCCAAGCATATTAGAATTCTGGCCAACAGAATGTAGACAAAAGGGCGATGTATGTGCTTTAAAATTTCTTGTCAAATACTTCATTCTGTCTCTCTCGTATGTCCCCAAATCCAGAGGATTCTGAGATGGAGTGTGAGGCCCTAGAAGATACTGGAGGCCCAGATAGTAGGCTGGTCCCTGAGTGACTGTGGGATGCACAGCACTTCTATAGCCCCACCCTACTGTGAACCCAGCAGGAAATACTTTGTTGGGTTAAAGTAGTGAGGCTTCGGGGTTGTTTGGAACAATACCCAGAATTCCTCATCCCAACTAATACAGAAATTAGGTCCAAAAGTGCTGTTAAAACACACACACACAAACACACACAGACACACACACACATAAATTTGTGCATCAGGTAGTAGGCAGCAAGGAAACAGATTTGGCAAAGTGGATGGCTGCAGATCCATTTTATAAAGTGGCAAGCAGGGTGCTGTGGCTCACACCTGTAATCCCAGCACTGTGGGAGGCTGAGGTGGGTGGATCATTTGAGGTTAGGATTTCGAGACCAGCCTGGCTGACATGGTGAAACCCTATCTCTACTAAAATACAAAAATTAGCTGAGCGTCGTGGCACATGCCTGTAATCCCAGCTACTTGGGAGGCTGAGAGATGAGAATTGCTTGCATCAGGAGGTGGAGGTTGCAGTAAGCTGAGATCACGCTACTGCATTCTAGCCTGGGTGACAGAATGAGAAAAGAAAAGAAAAGAAATGGCCAGCCATGGTGGCTCACACCTGTAATCCCAGTACTTTGGAAGGCTGAGGCAGGCAGATCACATGAGGTCAGGAGTTCAAGACAGCCTGGCCAGCATGGTAAAACCCTGTCTCTACTAAAAATACAAAAAATTAGCCAGATGTGGTGGTGGGCACCTGTAACCACAGCACATTAGTATTGTGTGTTGGTTGTTATTGACCGCACTGGACTGACTATTACAAGAAAGGGATGGGCACTGGAAAAATTGGCCAATTTACAAGCAGATGTATTAAAGGAATAGAGTGCAGAAATTCGGTGTCCTGCTGAGTCGAAAACCCCAACTTTTTTTAGGCTCTGAACTGGAAGATATGAGAACAAGGCTTTGAGTAACAAAGTTCCAAGAAAATTTATGAGTTAAACAAAGTGGCTGAGCCTTGTGCCAAAGATCAAATTAAGAGAATGGGCTCCTAAGCCAGGTATGGTAGTGTGAGGTGGCAACCATTAAGTTGAAAGAGGCATGGGGTGAAGAGGGAGGCAGAAGGGAACTAAAGAAAACAAGGCAGGCTTGAAAACTATGCCTTGGGGCCAGGCAGGGTGGCTCATGCATGTAATCCTAGCACTTTGGGAGGCTGTGGGCAGATCACGAGGTCAGGAGTTCAAGACCAGCCTGGCCAACAGAGTGAAACCCCATCTCTACTAAAAATACAAAAAATTAGCCAGGCATGGTGGCATGTGCTTGTAGTCCCAGCTACTCAGGAGGCTGAGGCAGGAGAATCACTTGAACCCGGGAGGCAGAGGTTGCTGTGAGCCGAGGTCGCACCATTGCACTCCACCCCAGGAAACAGTGTGATACTCTGTCTCAAAAAACAGAAAAAAAACTATGTCTGGGAAAAAAACTTTGAGTTACTGGCACATGGAACTGACTGGAAGTAAAGAGACAGAAAGCCTACAGAGTTTTTGAATCCAGGATCCCAAGCTTTTTGCTTTTGACTATTCAAGCTGTGAGCCTCTAATCTGGCTCAAGAAGGGCATCCTCCAAATACACACTTGAGTTGTGGCCAGGGAAAATGATGGACAATGAATGAAAGCCATGCTAGAGGGTGGATGCAGGTGCCACAGAAAGCAATAGAAAGTTCCTCCCAGAGAGAAAAGTTCAGGCCTAATAGAGGATTTCAGATTTTCTCTTGACCAATGACTGCTGTGTCTTCTATTTCTCTTCCAAAGTGAGTGACAAAGGCAGCAATTCTGTGTTCCATCATTTCATATTAGCATGGTAGGAGGCAGGGCCAGGACTAGAATGAGGCAAGTGAGATGGGAAGGGAACAAAATCTAAGGGAGCGTTCTCTCTCAGACTGCTGTTAAGTGCTGATTTGGCACAGAAGGAGCCACAGCCACACCTGACGGTGCAGGGCTCACTTTTTGAGCTGAATGGAGTAACCAGCTGGAACTTTGAACTGTTCATCTTTGCAAGTGGAAGGGGCAGTATTCTATGTGTAGAAGGAAAAATGAAACAAATATTTGGTTAGCAGAAGCAAATACTGGCTGTTCCCCCACCACCTATGCTTTTATTTCCTTGGCGCACCAGGAGGCCATGCTTGCTTGTTCCTTTGCGTGCGAGTGGGGCCACGTGACTGTGTCCTGTCCAGTAGCATGCATGCTGTCCAACAGGACAGGATACAACTTTCAGCCTTGTATTAGTCCGTTTTGCATTGCTATACAGGAATATCTGAGACTTGGTAATTTATAAAGAAAAAAGGATTATTTGGCTCATGGTTCTGCAGTCTGTACAAGAAGCATGGCACCATCATCAACTTCTGGGAAGGGCCTCAAGAAGCTTTCAATCATAGTGGAAGGCAGAGCGGGACTCAGTGTTTCACATGGCAAGAGAGGAAGAGAGAGCAATGGGAAACAGATCCCAGACTCTTTTTGTTTTGTTTTGTTTTGTTTTGTTTGTTAGAGACAGAGTCTCGCTTTGTCATCCTGGCTGGAGTGCAATGGCACAATCATGGCTCACTGCAGCCTCCACCTTCTGGGGTCAAGCAATCCTTCCATCTCAGCCTCCCAAGTAGTTGGGTCTACAGGTGCACGTCACCACACGTGGCTACACACATACATACACACACACACACACACACACACACACACACAATTTTTTTTTTTGGAGACAGAGTCTCCCTCTGTCACTCAGGATGGAATGCAATGGCATGATCTCGGCTCACTGCAGCCTCTGCCTCCCAGGTTCAAGCAGCAATTCTCCTGCCTCAGACCCCTGAGTAGCTGGGATTACAGGTGCATGTCACCACGTTCAGCTAAGTTTTTGTATTTTTAGTAGAGAGGGTTTTCACTGTGTTGGTCAGGCTGGTCTCAAACTCCTGACCTCAAGTGATCTACCCTCCTCGGCCTCCCGAAGTGCTGGGATTATAGGCGTGCTCCACCACGCCCAGCCTATATATATATAATACATATAATATATATGAGATAGGCCTCACTATGTTGCCTAGGCTGGTCTCGGATTCCTGTGCTCTGATCCTCCCATGCCTCAGCCTCCCAAAGTGCTGGGATTAGTCATGACCCACCATGCACTGGCCCCAGACTTTTTTTAACAACCAGATTTGTGAATTAAAAGAGCAAGAACTCATTCATTATCTCTAGGAGAGCACCAAGCCATTCCTGAGGGATCTGCCCCATGACCCAGACACTTCCTGCCAAGCCCCAACCCCAACCTTAAGGATCAAATTTCATCATGAGATTTGGAGGGAATAAATATCCAAACTATATCAAGCCTGATCCCTAAAACCTTTGGTGCAATCATCAGCTGCCATCAGATGCAAACAGTACAGTGGAACTCTCCCAGGCTCTAAAAGGTAGCAGAACCACAAGGTAGAAGGAGCCTGAAGTCTACTTCATTGGTCGTGATATGTCTTTGAAATGCAATGTTATAAAAAGTGGTGTCAGAGATGGGCTGCTGTGGACAGACAACTAAGGCAATTGGAGAATTAGAAACATTACATCTTGGCTGGGTGCGAAGGCTCACACCTGTAATCCCAGCACTTTGGGAGGCTGAGGCGGGCAGATCACCTGAGGTCAGGAGTTCAAGACCAGCCTGGACAACATGGCAAACCCCCACCTCTACTAAAAATATAAAAATTAGCCAGGCATGGTGTTGGGCACCTGTAATGCCAGCTACTGGGAGACTGAGGCAGGAGAATTGCTTGAACCCAGGAGGTGGAGGTTGCAGTGAGCCGAGATTGTGTCACTGCACTCCAGCCTGGGAGACAAGGGTGAGACTCTGTCTCAAAAAAAATAAAATAAGCAAAACATTAAATATTATTATTGTTAAAACAAGTGCTCTGAATGAAGAGAAGCCCCCAAAACAGGCTTTGTGTGAGCAAATGGCTATTTATTCACCCTGGTGTGAGCGGGCTGAGTCTAAAAAGAGAGTCAGCGGAGGGTGGTGGGATAGGAGCTGGTTTTATAGGTTTGGGGTAGGCAGTGGAAATTACAGAAGTTACAGTTTAGGGCAGTTTTTGCAAGCTGGGAGGGGGTTGTAGGGTCTGGAGTCACGAGGTTGACCAAGGTTGGTTACAAAGTCCAATTGTCTTATTAGTTGAGGGGGGAATAAGGAACAGTAGAAGAATGTCGCAAGTTAATTAGGTGTCACAGAGGTTGATCATTCTTCCCCCGTTCATGGTCTTCCAGTTACTTCAGACTTTCTAGTTCCAGGAAATCATCTGCAGTGTCCGTGCTGGTCACAGAGGTTACCACGGTGTAGTCCATGGTGCAGTCAGTCAGCCTTAAAGACCTTACTTTCCTGTCTTTTTATATCAGTAATATAAAGGAAAAAGAAATGAAGAGTAGAGGGCAGTGGCGTATTAGGAAGGCCAGCACAGAGGGGTGATGGGGCGATGTTTCTCAGGGCTTCTTCAAGCAGGATTGGGGGTGGCGCAGAAACCTAAAAATGGGAAGGAATTTATACTGCTGGGAAATCTCGGGGCAAGGGGTGATATTGTGAGGTTGTTACAAGGAGCATTTGTCCTATTGACTGATTGGTTATCTCCTGTATATGATTTCGTAGGGATTGAGAGATTAATCAGAAAACACAGGGTCCAAATAAGAGAAGGAGAAAGATAGGTATCAGAGGACAAAGGATTGGAAGAAGCCATGATACCCAGTTAGAGAGTGTCCAGCCAGTCCAGCCAGGTCCAGAATAACCATCTCCCTGATTAGTGAGCTTTTGGGCTCTGTCTTTTAATTTATTGATGGTATCATATATGAGGCCAGACTGGTTTACATAAAAACAACATTCTTCATTTAGAAATAGGCAAATACCTCCTTTTTCAGCAGTCAGTAAATCAAGACCACTGTGGTTTTGGAGGCCAATTGCAGCTAGGAAATTTACTTGAGCTTGAAGAAGGGGTAGTGATTGAGTTAATTGTGCAATGCTAGCAGAAAAATCATTAGAGACGCTATGGAAGGTGATGACCGAAGTGGTAAGGCCTGCTATGCCTGTGCCGAGTGCTGTAGTAATTCCTAACCACAGGTAAGGGGATCCATGGAGTAACCCGCTTGTGTCCTGTCGGGACCACAAGGGGAACAGGGAGGCTTTTGTCTGCAATGGCAAACTGAATTTTGGGAGTAAGGAAAACTAGGGTACAAGTGCCTATCCAGTTAGTAGGAAGGCAGATATAAGAAGAAGAACCACAGATGGAAAAAGTCCTTGGCTTAGACAGAACTGGAAGTGTAAACTGAAAAGATGAGAAAGTGTTCTGAGGGGGCTGGGGTCTTGTACCCAGATGCCAAGGGAACCAGAAAGGGCTGCAGCTGTTAAAGGTTGTAGCAGGGTTTGGTAGCGTAACTGTGGTGGGAGAGCTTTTGTTTTCATGGTGTATGAGGAAGCATGTGGTATCTATAAGTAACCACTCACTTTCATTAACAAGACTGGGTATGGGCAGAAAATGGGAGCAAGACTAAGAGTGAGTATAAAAGAAAAGAAGAGGTCTTTATCGGGGTGGAAGGACTGGAGAGTCTTTGCCACTGAAGATCATCTAATCACTCTAAAAGAGAGTCGAGGGTGGCAGCCTGGAGATAAAACCACGAAATATTGGCTATAATTGCCTGGAGGAAAAGTGTAAACCAGCAACTTAAACAAAAGCAGGGCATGTAAAAGTAAATGAGTACAGTGAATCTGAGCACAGTTTGACAGGAACCAATAGAAACAGAGAATTTCTGCGGTGTGGTTTAAGTAGTAAGGGAGATTGCATTAAATAGTGGTGTTAGGAAAAAGATGCCTAATGAAAATAAAAGCTATGTTAGGTTTATATAGGGTTACTCTTCCACTTTAGGGATGCGGGTGAGTTTGAGAGAAGTCAGGGAGAGAACTTGTGACTTCCAGGAGGAGGCAGAGGAGTCAGGCAGATTGTCCGATGGACACAGCTTTATCCTGGAATGATGGACCCACTGTGGAGGGTCTTGTAGACGGACAGTGGTTGGGGTGCTAGAGATGACCAGGAAGGGTCCTGTCCACCAAGGTTGCAGAGACCGAGGGGTTAGGCTTTTAACCAGGACTGACCTTCCGGCTAGGGTGCCTTCATATGGCCGGGTATCTGGAGTGGGTAAGAGGAAATTGGCAGCCTGGTGGATTTCATGTCTCACCTGTTGGAGGACTGGAAGATAGTCACCAAGAGGACTGGTGTCTGGAATAAGGTTAGGCCCAAGCAGAAAGGTGCAGCCATATAGGAGTTCCAAAGGGCTATACCCTGTGGGTTCTTCAGGAGTGGCTCGAATCCTGAGTCCTCTGCAGTTGATAACTCTGGTTTTGGCCGGGAGGAGAGCGGCCTTAAGGAGAGCCTTTGTTAAGGGGGCATTGATAATAGAGGACCCCTGCGTGGTGAGAAAACGTCTTTCTGCCCAAATGGCAGCATGGTGGTGTAGTATGTGTAAGGCGCATTTAGTCAGTATAGATATTAACATGTAGTCCCTTGGCAAGAGTAAGAGCATGGGTTAAGGCAATCAGTTCAGCTTGCTGAGACGTGATGGAAGAAGGGAGTGTGGCAGCCTCAGTAATAGTTGAGTGGGATACAACAGCATAGCCAGCTTTGGCCGGTGCCAACCAACTGGGCTTGGAGGAACTGCCTTCAAAGAAGCATGTGTCTGGAATAGGAAAAAGAAAAATATGGAGAAATGGGGAGGATGCTATATGGATTAGGGAAATGCAGTCGTGGGGCTCCGGGTTTGTGTTGGGTATTAAGTGAGAGGCTGGGCTCAAGTCAGGTCCAAGAGCAATGGTTGCTGTGGGGGTTTCAGTAAAGAGCACATAAAGCCAGAGAAGGCGAGGGGCTGAATGTAAGTGTGTGAGGTGTGAAGACGGAACTAAACTTTGGAGGTTGTGAGAGCTATAGAGAGTAAGTGGGGCATAGCCTATCATTTTACGGGATTTCAAGAGTAAAACAGCAGTGGCTGCCGCAGCATGCAGACACACTAGCCAACCTAGGACTGTAAGATCAAGTTGTTTAGACAGAAAGGCTATGGGTCGTGGGCCTGGTTCTTGAGTAAGAACTCCAGCTGGGCAGCTTTCACTTCTGTCGTGTGTAAGGAGAAGGGTTGGGGGGAGTTGGGAAGCACCAGTGTGGGAGCTGTTTCTAGGGCTTCTTTCAAAGAACACAAAGAAGAATGAGGGAAGGATTTAGGGTCTATGGGGCAGCCAAGTCCCTTTTTGAAAGCTTATAGAGTGGTTTTGCCAGTAAGGCAAAGCCTGGTGTCCAGAGGCAGAAGCATCCTACCACGCCTAGGAAGGAGACAGCTGCTGTTTAGTAGAAAGAGCTGGGGTCTGGGAGATCAACTGGACACGGTTAGCTAGGAGGGTGCGTGTGTTCTGTTGGAGGATTATGCCAAGACAGGTGATGGATGGGGAAGAAATTTGGGCTTTGGAAGGAGATACATGATACCCCTTTGAGTATAGATGCTGAAGAAGCAGGAGGGTATCTTGCTGGGAAGATTCATAAGAGGGACTGCAAAGAAGGTCATCCATGT